CCAGTAATTATTCTAAGGCCGGTGCAGTCTAGCTCAGAGGGGAGAGTTCACGCAGCCCTGTAATGTAACCCAGGCCCTTGGCTGCTCAATCAGGGGGGTCCCCAGCTGGGTAATGAGCCGGCTGCTTTATTGAATTCCCTGGCTATGTCTGACTAATCACCGAGGCACCCTGGGCTTTCTGAGAACCTATCTGAGCTCTCTGGCAGTGAACTTGGTCCTCTCTAGCACCCCAACTCCTGCTCCTCTAATCCTTCTTCCTCCCCAAGTATACTCGGAGTGGGAAGCTCCAGGGGGTTGGCCTCCCACATCCATCTGGGAGAAAAGGAGGCTGCCTCCAGTCTGGGGCCCCGAGCAAGCCGCTGGGTTCACTCTACAGGGGCTGCCCCAGGGGAGACAGACCTGTAGCTCCCACCCCTCCCCTGTCTCCTAAACCTGCTGACTTTCCCTCTCACTTCTTTCCCTTTCCCGGCCTTGCGGAGAGAAGGCCTTGGCCAGGAAGGCTGTGTGTGCTGTGGACCAGGCCTTTGCAAGAAGAGGGTAGGAGACCACTTTCCCCTGGCCTTGCAGACTCCTGCTCAGACTTCAAGACCATCCATGTCACGTCTGTGCAGCAAGTGGTAAACCCAAGGCCTCCTTACTCCTCTCTGCCCACAGCCTTGAAGGACCTCTCGTAGTTTTTTTTTTCCATAGGGTCTTTATGGATCTTGTTGTGTGCCATCAAGTTGATTCTGACTCACAGCAGCCCTATATGAGTAGAACTGCCCTACAGGGCTTCCCCAGGTGTAATCTTTATGCAGGAGCCCTGGAGGCACAGTGGTCAAAGTGCTCGGGTGCTAACTAAAAGGTCAGCAGTTCAAACCTACCAGCAGGAGAAAGATGTGGCAATCTGCTTCTATAAAGATTACAGCCTTGGAAAATCTATGGGGGCAATTCTACTCTGTCCTATAAGGTTGCTATGAGTTGGAATCAACTTGATGGCAGGTTTTTTTTAAAAAAAACCTTTACAGGAGCCCCAAAACAAAGCTCAGAATGCAGGAAGGGGCAGGAAAGAGGATGAATGGAAACAGAGCCCAGGGAGGAAGTGGGAAGAGAGCTGTTACATCGAGGGGACAGCAACCAATACCACAAAACAAAGTATGTATAAATTTTTGAATGGAAAACTAATTTATTCTGTCAACTTTCACTCAAACTACAATTAAAAAAAAAAAAAAAAAACCTTACAGGAGCAGATTGCTGGGTCTTTTCTTTGCATAGCAGTTAGTGGGTGCAATCCACTGACTTTTTTATTAACAAGTAGCTGAGTACTTAACCACTGTGCCACCAGGGCTTCTTACCATTCTTTTTGCAGCCTTGTTTCTGGACTTCTAGACTGTGCCCTCTCTGTGGACTGAGACTGCTGGCTGGTCTGTGTACCCAGAACTTAGCACATAGTAAGTGCTTTAAAATGCATTTGTGGAAGGAAATAAAAGAGGGAGAGTTAAGAGGCTTGGTCTGTGTATAAGCAACATGGGCATCTGTGACGCTGGCATAGGTCTGTGTGTCTGTCTGTGTGTCTGTCCGCATGCGGCTGAACTTCAGCCAATGAAACCTCTGGCCTGGCTGATTTGGGAAATAGTGTCAGCTGTATTGTCAAGACCTTAATGGCTCAGGAATTGTTATACCCAGGGTGAATCTGAGGTCAAGGGTCACCGAGAGTTCACTCTTTGTGTGTGACTTCCTACTGGCTACACCTAGAACAGGTCTTGAACCCACCCTGGAGGGCCTGAAAATCCATGGTACCTTTGCTCTCTGAGAATGGTGGGGGCCAGAGGGGGTTCTTTGGAGATGAAGGCAGAGCCAGCCCTCTTTCTGACCTTTCACGCTGAGGGGCAGCAGTGGCTGAACTGTGCCTGATGTCTGTGGGAGGGGTGGAAGGCCTGAGACTTCCACAGGACAGCCAAGAGGCCAGCCAGGCCAGCCTAGCCCAGGCTCAACTCCCCTACTCCAGGCCTGAGGAGTGGGGAGGCCTGGTGGATGCTGAGCTGGGGACCCAGGCATTGATGAGGCTGGACTCTCATCACCCACTGGAGAGGAGTGTGAGGGAGACAGAGAGTCAGGCAGACAGACACAAGAGAGGCAGGGCAGCAGCGAGGTAGCTCGTTCTGAGGGACTCAGGCCGCACCCGCTAAGGGAGGGGCTGCATGGAGGAGACTTCAAAGTGCTCCCAAAACGGTTTATAAACAAGTCCGTCTGGTGGGGCAGCCAGCGGGCCTGGTGGGGAGGCCTTTCTGGAGGGGCTGGGAGCTCGCATGGAGTTGCGTGCAGAGCACAGGATTGGGGTCATGGAGGTGACGGTGGGAGCCGCGGCTCCGCCTCACCTGGGGGACCCTGGGCAGGACCAGTTTAACCTCTTCGTGACTCAGTTTCCTCTTCTGCACTATGGAGCTCACAGCAACACCCCACTGCCTGCCTCCTGGGGCTGGTGTGAGGGTCAGCGGTGATGATGTTGGTGAAAACGCCGTGTGGGCTCGGAGCCCTGATCAGATGTTATTTATTATTCTGAGCTGTTTTTGGTGGGAGACTTGGACAGGCTGAGAGGACTGGCGTGTTCTAGGGCCCCTTCTTCCCTGATTGGGTTTTGAGAGTTCTTGGAGCAGTGTGGTCAGAATGGGGCCCAGGGAGGGAGAGGCCGCAGCGCTCAACAGGACCGTGCTGGGCGGAGGGCTTTGTCCGTCAGCCCTCAGTAGCCAGGGTCGGATGGGCAGATCTCCCTGTGCTTTTCGGATGAGCTGTCCCCCAGCCTCTGCTCTGTGGCCCCTCCTCCTGCCTCCTCATCCTGAGCCTGCTGTCTATCTGGGTGATACCGATATGGAGAAAGAATCAGCTTTTCTCCCCGGATCCTTGTCCTCATGTAATGGGGCTGTGACAATTTTTCTAAGTCCTGCTTAGAAATGTGTCACTGTCCATTTCCCTTTGAGACATCAAAGGAGGCTGAGCCCTCCACCCGCTGCTCACCAACCGCGTTCCTTCAAGCACTGTGTGGAGGCCTTGCTCTGAGCAGCTGGAACATGGGTTTATAAAATTACAGGGAATACGAAGCAGCCAGTGTCGCCCGCTGTCTGCCTTCATTACTGGGACTGGCCTTGGAGGAAAGTTTATTTCAATAATTTAGGGGATTAGGGTCTGATACCCTTCATTAGCTATTTGACATGAGCAGAAAAAGCAGGTCTTGCAGAAGAACCCATGCCATGGGGAGCAATTGGCTCCGGTGGGGAGAAAGCAGCACGCCGCCCAGGAAGAGGAAATGTCTGCAGGTGGAAAAAGAATGGCTTGTCTTTTCACAGTTAAACTAGATGGTGACCTACAGCCCTGAAGGGAGAAGTAGAGCTGGGGAAGGCGGTGCCTGGGCTCAGGACTTAGTTTCCCTATCTGTAATATGAGAACGTTGCTGGGGGCTTCAAGGTCCTTCGAGCTCCATCCCCATAATACATAGCAACTCAATTACCCATTTGGAGTTTGGCCTTGAAAAGGCACCTCTTTCTTCTAGGGAACTGTCTCCCTCCTGCCACATAGCCCACGGGAATCTAGTGACCAACACAAAGACACAGACTGCTTGCTTTTCTGTGGCATTTTGGAGACAAGCCATTTCGTGCCAAGTGATGGAGAAATTGGGCCCGTTCCTTGGAAGCTTCTGGCTCTCGCCCCCACCCGCTCCATAAATACAGCCCCTGATGTTTCAAAAACTTCTTGTCCAACATGTAAAGGTCAGAGTTTGGGCAGTTCTGACAGTAAAGTGGGGAGAGGGTGGCTTCCAAGGGCTCTGCCCACACCTAGGCAAGCTGGTTTCCCTGCTTCCCATGTTAATGGTGGGGTCCTGGAGCTGTGTGACATGGGGCAAGTTACTCTCTGTGCATCCATTTCCTCAGATCTAAAACAGGCACAGGTTGTTGTGAGGATGAAATGAAATGATGGGGATAGAGAGCATGGCACATCTGAGAGCCCAAGAAATATTATCTATGCTTATTATGACAGTGTGTGACCTTGGGTGACTCACTTGCCCTCTCTGGCCTGGTACCTTTCCTTTAGAGAATAGGGGAAATGGGGTTATGCCTGTGAAGTGCTGGGCACTCAGAAAGAGCTCACTAACTGGCAGCCATGATGGTCATTCGCGAGGGCAGCTGGGTAGTGGAGTGCGCTCTTGAGACACTGTTACCATGTAGGTTTTCCTGGAGCCGAAAAGTGTGTCAACCCAGGAGCGAGGAATGTGATCCGTCCCGGCAGCCGGGGGAGCCGGAGCATATCTGGTATGTGTCTCTGGAATGATTTTGGGAAAATTCACTGAGGTTGGAACTTGAGACTCGAACTGCTTGGGACAGAGAGATACAGAGCTGTCCGCGTGCACGCCCCCAACAAAGGCCTTGCTGCTGGGATAGGAGTCGGCTTACAGAGCACAGCACTGCTCAAGCCCGCCCTGGAATGGCCGTGAACTTGTTGTTTTTCCACGTCATTTGCTCTCAAATGTACTGTCAGGCTGGGCGATGCTAACCCGGCAGCGGCTGCAGGTCCCTCCTTGTAACAAGCGATCGTGTGTTCTTTAGAGGTGGCCAAAGGGGAGGAGGGGGCCCGGCCACGGGGAGGTGGGGTGGGGGAAAGGGAAACAAATTCCTTCCTTACAGGGAGCTTGCGTGTCCTGGAGCCAGCTCCCCCAAAAACGTATGGCATTTCTGGCCCTTGAAGGGGTTAAAGGCCTCCTGGAGCTCAAAAACAAGCAGGTGTCCCACCGTGCCAGATACAGCCGCCTAAACGGCTTCCAGCTTTTTTTTCCCCCCTTCTGCAACAAGTCTGCGATCGGCCACGGGACAGAGGATCCAGCAGGCTGCCTGTGACAGGCGTCAGGTTAGCTCACTCCCACTCGGGTGCGCCCAGGATATAAATTAAGCTGGGGCCCCTGCTGCGGCTTCTCTCCCTGCACACTCAGGAGAGGGAGTTTCCTTCCCAACCTTTCTTTTATCGGAAACCGGCAGCCCAGCAGGCTGTACTGACTTGTGGAGGCAGCCGGGGCAGCAGCCTCTGCTACGAGGAAGCCTGCTGGGTTGGGCAGGGGCAGGTGTCTCCAACCCCTAGAGAAGGAGAAGACCCTAGTGGACCCCAGCCCCTGGGGTTGTCTCAGGGGGCCACAGAACTGCACCATGTGGGCCCAGGGGTGCTGCCGGTTCTGGTCCCGCTGGGGACAGGTGGTGGCGCTGCTGCTGTTGCTGCTCGGGGTGCCCCCGCAAGGCGGGGCACTGCCCCCCATCCGCTATTCCCACGCTGGCATCTGCCCCAACGACATGAACCCTAATCTCTGGGTGGATGCCCAGAGCACCTGCAAGCGGGAATGTGAGACGGACCAGGTGAGTGGGTGTATGAGTGGGGGGATTGGGGCCCGTGGGGTGTGGATGACTCAGGAGTGCCTGCAGGGCCCAGAAATGTGGAGGAACATGGGTAGTCCACATGGAGTCACGTCTATCTGGTAACTCTGAGGCCCAGGAGAAGAGGCAAGTGTGATGTCCAAGTTCACAGGGATCCATGGATTCCTCGTCTCCTGCTTGCTGAGGGCTGCTGTGAGCCAGCATGGTGCCAAGAGTAGCGTATTTCTGGCCCCACATGTCAGCCAAGTGGGCATGAGCATCCCCTTTACAGGTGAAAGAGCAGACAGCAAGGTGTAGTGGGCAGTGATGAAGGGCGGGGCTGGAACCTCTGCCTGGCAACAAGGCTGTATCCCCAGGTGTTTCGATCCTAACCTGAGAGTGCACCTAGCTGAGGGTCAGGGCAAGCAGGAATGGCTTGGCATGACTCTCTTTGGGTGTCCCTGGTGGGGCACAGACTAAGTTTGAATGTGCCAGGTTCCTCGGTCCTCCCATCTCTCCTGGTCACAGGACACTGTGCCAGGGCCGGTTCTGGAGCAACGCTTTCCTAGGGATGACTTTGGTGCTCTTGCTCTAGGGAGTGGTGACTCTTGAGTCCAAGGGCCATTCCTGCTCACTCACACCAAAGACTAGGGGCCTGCTGACACCTGCACCTGCCCCAGGCAGAGGCACTTCCTGCGAAGCCTGGCCAGCTTTCGGGCAGTACCTTGTCCCCTGGGACTCCTGGGGCATCAGGGAACATGAGAGACCTGGTATTCCCTCTGCTTCTGCCAAATGCACCCCACCCCAGGAAAGCTCAGAGTCACCCTGGAGAGACATCTCTGCCTCACAAAACCCAGAGGACAATTTTCAGGCCTCTCAGGCCAGATGCTGCCAGTGGGCACTGGTGGTGCTGAGGGCGAGGGAGATAGGGAGTCAGAGAGCTGGCGGAGTGTTTCTGTCCCAGGGAGTTCATGCTGTTAGCCTGCTGCATTGGCGGGAAGCCTGTTTCAGGGCACAGTTTAGCCTGAAAGCAGATGGGACTTGTGGACAGTGAGTTTCTGGCTGATTCTAGTGTCTTGGGGAGAAAGGACCTGTGTGAGGCTGAGGACTCAGAGACCCACGAGTACCTCCTGGGTCCTTACGTAAAACTTTACTCAAGGACCCCTCTAGGTTTCCTGGTCCCTGAGGACCCAGTCTTTGGGTTGTACCTCTTAATGCTAAAGGAGCTGCCTGCCAGAGTCCTGTAAGGAACTGAATGACCCTCAGGCCAAGGAGCAGGTTCTCCTGTCTGCTCCCAGCCCCCAACTCCCCACCGTGTCTCTCTCCCTTAGACCCCAGATCTGAAATCTGCCCATCCCTGCCCTAAAGCCTCCCCTGGTGTGGCCTAGAAGCCCATGCCAAACAAAGGCTGCAAAACAAAGTCCCCATTCTGAGCTGAAGGGGGAAAAACAGTAAACAAGTCAAGCAGGCGGGCTCCACGCAGCCGGGGCGGGGATATTTCCCCCTCTTAGCCGATGTGGAATGTCAAAGAGGCTGAAATGAAAGTCGCAATGACAAGAGGCCAGCTCTACGTGGGAATATACTACCAGGGCGGAAGATTAGGAGCGCTGCCCGCCTGCCCAGTGGGCACCGTGGGTTATTGTTGAAAACACCTTGTGAAATCCTTGTTTGTGCTCCAGAAGCCTGTTGCTAATTTCGAGGAATTAAACTAATGCCTTACGTGACTCCACAGAGAATCAGAGGGGATTATGGCCTGGTAAGTCCTCGCTGACGGCCTCGCCCACCTTTGCCACACAAGGGGATTTTTTTTTTTCTCGTTTTCCTCACGAAATGTTCCACGTGTTGGAAATGAATGCCTAGGCTGTGGTCAGCCCCCGGTGGTGAGAGCTGGTGTCCTGGCCTGTCTCACCTGCCCCAACTCTTGGGTATGAAAGAATCTGGGTGCAAATGGTTAAGTGCTTGACTACTGACCAAGAGGTTGGTAGTTTGACTCCACCAGAGACACCTCAGAAGAAAGGCCTTGTGATCTGCTTTCCAAAGATCACAGCCATTGGAAACCAGAGGGCACAGTCCCACTGGATCACATGTGGGGTTGCCAGCAGCTGGGAGCAACTTGAAGGCAACTGACTTTTTGGAGGGGTCTCAATGGTGCCTCTGTTCCCAATGTATGTGTCCCCAAGGGGAAGGGAGGGGTGTACAACCTCAAACATCCGCCCCTATGGCTGAGTCTCCCGTCTTTACGGCTAGTGTGACCTCTTCAAGTTGCCAGAGTATCTTCACCCGAAAAAAGACAAAAAGGCAGCCTAGTTTGTTGAAACCCAGACCCACAAATATGTGTAGTAGCTCTGTGATGAAGACCCCCCACCCCCCACTTTCAGAATCCCATCCTCCTAGAGCTTGAAGCCCTTCTTGCCACTTTCCAGGTGTGAGCATCTGGGCATTACCTCCCTGAGCCTCCACATTCACCTCTGTACAATGACAGTCAGAATACTTCACCACTTGTCAATATGTGGCCTGTGTCTTCCCACATTACTGGCTGTGTGACCTTGGGAAAGTTACTTCACCTCTCTGTGCCTTAGTCATCATTACTTGTAAAGTGGGGATAATGGTTGTACCCACTTCATAGGTGTGATGGACATTAAATAAGTAGACAGCTTATTTAAATAAGCTTAGACCTTAGCCCATAGTAGGTGCTATGTGTAGGTTAGCTATTGTTATCACCATCATCCAAATCTTTGCCTCCTGGTCAACACATGATGGTGAGCACATATTAGTTTCTGCTCCCACTAACTGGAATGGTGGGAGGAGCCTCTCCCCTCTTCCTTCCCCTCCCTGCTCAAGCCTTTCCATTGCTCTTTGCAGGAGTGTGAGACCTATGAGAAGTGCTGCCCCAATGTGTGTGGGACCAAGAGCTGTGTGGCAGCCCGTTACATGGATGTGAAGGGGAAGAAGGGCCCAGTGGGCATGCCCAAGGAGGCTACATGCGACCACTTCATGTGTCTGCAGCAGGGCTCCGAATGTGACATCTGGGACGGCCAGCCCGTGTGTAAGTGCAAAGATCGCTGTGAGAAGGAGCCCAGTTTCACCTGCGCCTCCGATGGGCTTACCTACTACAATCGCTGCTACATGGATGCAGAAGCCTGCTCCAAAGGCATCACGCTGGCCATTGTCACCTGCCGCTACCATTTTACCTGGCCCAACACTAGCCCCTCACCACCTGAGACTACCGTGCACCCCACTACGGCCTCCCCGGAGACCCCTGGGCTGGACATGGCAGCTCCGGCCCTGCTTAACCACCCCGTGCACCAGTCAGTCACCATGGGTGAGACTGTGAGCTTCCTCTGTGATGTGGTGGGCCGGCCTCGGCCTGAGATCACATGGGAGAAGCAACTAGAAGATCGAGAGAACGTGGTCATGCGGCCCAACCACGTGCGTGGTAACGTGGTGGTCACCAACATTGCCCAGCTGGTCATCTACAATGCCCAGCCTCAGGATGCCGGCATCTACACCTGCACAGCCCAGAATGCCGCCGGGGTCCTGCGGGCCGACTTCCCGCTGTCAGTGGTCAGGGCTGGCCAGGCTACGGCCAGCTCGGAGAGCAGTGTGAATGGCACAGCCTTCCCCTCAGCCGAATGCCTGAAGCCCCCTGACAGTGAGGACTGCGGTGAGGAGCAGACCCGTTGGCACTTCGACGCCCAGGCCAACAACTGCCTCACCTTCACCTTTGGCCACTGCCACCGTAACCGCAACAACTTTGAGACCTACGAAGCCTGCATGCTGGCCTGCATGAGCGGCCCGCTGGCCGTGTGCAGCCTGCCTGCCCTACAGGGACCCTGCAAGGCCTACGCACCACGCTGGGCCTACAACAGCCAGACGGGCCAGTGCCAGTCCTTTGTCTACGGTGGCTGTGAGGGCAATGAAAACAACTTCGAGAGCCGCGAGGCCTGCGAGGAGTCCTGCCCCTTCCCACGGGGGAACCAGCGCTGCCGGGCCTGCAAGCCAAGGCAGAAGCTCGTTACCAGCTTCTGTCGGAGCGACTTTGTCATCTTGGGCCGAGTGTCAGAGCTGACTGAGGAGCCCGATGTGGGCCGTGCCCTGGTGACTGTGGATGAGGTCCTCAAGGATGAGAAGATGGGACTCAAGTTCTTGGGCCGGGAGCCACTGGAGGTGACTCTGCTCCACATGGACTGGGCCTGTCCCTGCCCCAATGTGACGGTGGGCGAGACATCACTTATCATCATGGGTGAGGTGGACGGCGGCATGGCCATGCTGCGGCCTGACAGCTTCGTGGGAGCGTCAAGCACCCGGAGGGTCCGGAAGCTGCGTGAGGTCATGCACAAGAAGACCTGTGACGTCCTCAAAGAGTTACTGGGTTTGCACTGAGGTCCCCACCCTCCCCTGGCCCCCACCCTGGCCCTCTTCCATCTACCCATCCCCCACTGCCCCACAGTCAACAAACTGGGCAAGGTCAGATTAGACACTTGGGCTGACGAGGAAGCATCAACCAACATCAGATAAATGCCACCAGAGGGTCCAGATCAACTTCTAGTCTTTGGGTCCAATAATGGGTCTATATTGCTTTTTCAGCTGAAAGGGACAACAGTAGATGTTTATAGGTACACACAAGTTATTCCTGACAGCCAGTCGGCTCAGATATTATCCTCCCTTTGCTGGCCACACCCTCCTCTGGCTCTCCCAGCTGCCTGCCTCAACCAGGCTCCCCAGCCAGGGTTCGAGAGATGGTGGTGGGCTGCATGGTGGTCACAGGAAGAGGTGAATGAATTGGGTTGAAAAGGTGAAGGGTGAAAGGAGGTCCCATGAAGTCATCAGGATTACTTCCCCACAGACCCCTGGATCTCTATGGACAGGCATCACAACTTCCCTGAGTGGGGACTGCTGAGATAGGACAAGGTGTTGTGCCTTGGGTCAAGTTGGCCCACAATATCTGACCAAGGCACCAACAGAATACGTGTTTCTTCTTGGCTGTGTTGGTGTGTTGATTCAGTTCCATTCGATTCAACTTCATGGATGTTTTCCTAAACACTTACTGTGTGCAGGTGCAATGGCCACAGAGAGATGCTAGATGCAGCCCATCTCGTAGCAACCAAGCACCAAATGTCCACACCCCCAGAAGCTGACCCATAACTGGCCCTCCCAGCTGTCAAACAGTCCCATTTGACAGGCGGTGTGCTTTCATATGCCACTGGTTTCCTTGGAAATAAAGCAGCTAAAAGTCACTGGATCTGTTTTTGGTAGGAAGAGAAATAAGGGCAGAGAAACAGCGAGGGGGTGGGGAGCAGATATTGAATAAGAAAAGAAGAAAGGGAGGAGGAGAAAAGGAGGCGAGCTTGAGACGGAATATTGCTCAATGCTGCCATCTGGTGGTGGCTTTGGGATCTAACAGGGACCTGTAGGGAGTCTCTAACGCAGGCCTGGGAGGGCAGGTTCCCGGATGTGGCAGCTAGCTGGTGATTTTTCTGTGTTTCCGGACTCCCTATGTGGGCCCGGCCACCCCATCACTAGACAGAAGTTTCGAGGAACCCACTGTCAAGTCTGCACATGCCCCTCCCTCCTTCCTCAGCCCTTCATCTATCCAAACCCCTCCACAGCTGAAGGTCATGGTGAGGCGTCTTCGTTTCTTCCTCAAATGTAGGGGGAGATACCAATTAAAAGGTCATAGTATCAGTAGCCCTTCTTGTGCGGTTCGTTTGGGTTAAGGTCTGCGTGTGCACGTACACATGCATGTGTGTGCATGCACGTGTGTGTGTGAAGTGGGCTGGTGTTATTGCTTGGCACCTTTGAGGGAGGGGAGTCTGACAGGGGCACTGTGCTGGGCGATGGAGGCGCACTCCCTTTGGGCTGCATTACCCAGAGGCTCAGGCTCTGGTGCCCACCCAGCCCTGTGGATTAAGCCAAGAAAGCAGAGGCGGAGAGAGGTGAGGTGACTTGTCCAAGAAAAGCGGCAGGAGGAGTTGGGGCATAGAGCCAGGTGTTCTGACTTGTAACCTTGCTGCTCCCCCACATTAGGACAACACCATGGGTGGGGGGCAGAAGCCAGGCCCAGCCACAGATGGGGCAGTGTGTGGTGGTGAAAAAGTGGAGGAGCCAGGACTGGAGCAGGAAGGGGAGATGTGTTGCCTAGCTGACTCTTATGGGGTCTCTAGGTGAAGCCCAGTTCCAGGAAGACTCTAGATTAAAGCCCTATATGTGTCCAAGGCACATGGCTTAGTTCCCAAGAATGGGGACAGCAATGCCTTTGGCCTGGGGCGGTTCTTGACCCCTCCCTGTCCCTCATGAAATACGCTCAGGAGCTCTGTGACTCCAGCCGTGATATGTCCCACAGTTTGTCTCCAGGCTGGGAACCAGCTAAACACAAGGGACATCTCTGCCCTGAACAGTTTCCTGGGTCTTCCTGAGCCCCGCCCAGAGGAGGAATCCAGGCCCAGGCCAACCCAGCCAATCTCACCTCAGATATAATTCCTAGTAATAAGTGTGTGAGGAGGGGCCAAGAGCAGAAAGACAGGACACTCCCTGAGTGAGATTGAAAGGCAGGAGGAGTGGAGTTCCTCAAGTCACCATTGGGAGAACATTGGTCACAGAATTTGGCCACCAAGATGCTGGGAGCACCAGCCTCGGCCCTCTGTCCACACATCTTTACCTGTCACCTCCTCCCTCCCAGTTTGCACAGATCTGGGTCATGAGCCCTGTGGCTCAGCCTGTTCTGCTTTCCTGGTGGGGATGTGAGGTTTGGGGGAGTCTGATCTCACAGCTTATTTCTCACTCACAGGCCCACACCCCGTGTCCATGTTATACACCAGCCCCAGCCCAGCAGAATGTGAAAACCTAGCCTGTGGAGTCAAAGGCATCTAGGTCTGAATCTGGGCTCTGTCATCTACCTGCTATCTCTCTGAGCCTCGATTTCTCCATCTATAAAACAGATGCAGTAAGAGCACTTTACAGGGATTTGAGGAAGGAGATCCTATATACCTTGTAAAACTGAAAAGACTGAGCCCTGCTCTGTGCGCCCTTCCCCCACCTCCGCCCTCAGCAGCTCCCCGGTGGCAGGGCAGGCCCAGGACCTAAATACCTTCATCCTTTTGGGCCTTGGGTTTCACAGGTTCAGTGATCACACAGCTCCTATTTTCAGGGCTAGTCCTGACTTCAAATGTCTTACAATGCGGCTCACAGAGTATCTCCAAAAAAGAAGCCTGTGTGGCCGGTCTGGGGCTCAGGAAATACAGATGCTCAGGGAATGGGCAGTTCAGAATCTGTTATAACATTGCACCTATAAATGGTGTTTACTTTCCTATACTTGAAACCACGCCCAAGTCTTATCTTCGTTTCCCCAGGCCTTATACAACGCCTGATATCTAGAATGCGCTCAGTAAGGCTGAGCCAAATTCCCAGAGTCTGGTTGCCAGGCAGCTGGGGAGGAAGGCCACCTCATCCTGTGTGGGAGGTTTGGCCCAGCCCAGGTCTCAGGACATAGGGAGACTGAGTCTCCCTCAGGCCCTAGTCCTCTGGGACCAACCTCCCTCCCACCAGAGGCCAGACTCATCTGTATCCCTGTGCATACAGGATACCCATGCCTCCCTTTCCCCTTTTTCTTGGGCTCCCTTTCCCCATTCTTCTTTCCCCTCCAGTCCCTCTCTCTGTTTGAGTCTTCAGAGGCATGGTCTGGCGCCGGCTGTCTCCAGACCAGCGCCTGAGGCCTCTGGGGCAGAGCAGCTTGGCTTTTTCCACTCTGTGCCTCCCCCAGCACCCCCAGCCTCCTAGGACACTCTGCTCCATTGTCTGGCCAGCTGCTCCATAGTCTGATGTCACCCCCTAGACAGTGGGGCCAGAGAGCAGGGATGGGGGTGGAACCTGGCTAGGAAAGGGGCAGAATAAATACATAGCCACGTGGTGACTTCCTTAGGCTGGGGAGAACTCCCTCTGTCCAGCTGTCCTGTTGTTATAACACCATCAACACTGAGTGAGTGCTTGCTATGCGCCTGGCACTCGGCATCATCTCTTCCATCCTTCATGGCAATGGTATGAGACACACCAGTTTGTGAACACTGTTTTAGAGGTTAGAAAACCAAGGCTAGAGGGGTTAAGAAACTTGCCTGAAATCACTTAGCTGGGAATGGCAGAGGTAAAATTTGAATCTAGGTGGTTTGACTTAAGATTTGGTGGCACAATGGTTAAGCATTTGGCTGCTGACCGAAAAGTCAGTGGTTTGACCTCACTAGCAGCTCCATGGGAGAAAAGACCCGCCAATCTGTTCCTGTAAAGATTCAAACTCATTACAGTAAAGGGAAAATACCCATGGCCATATATACATAAGTTTGGCAGATGATATTTCTGCATACACATTTGTACGTGCTGTAAGAAAGCCTCTCTCTCTGTCCATCTGTCTCTCTCTATATATTAGAACTAACAAGGGCACCATTATGATAACTTCTTACCAATAGCCAACCACCCTGAGGGAGCAAGTTGTTGGGCCCACAGGTTCAGGACCATGGACATGGGGGACATCAAGCTCAATTGGCGTAACAAACTACACAAAAACATTGTTCTACATCCTACTTTGGTGAGTAGTGACTGGGGTCTTAAAAGCTTGCAAGCAGCTATCTAGATGCAATAGTCGGTCTCTCCTCATCCAGAGCAAAAAAGAATGAAGAAAACCACAGATGCATGGAAACTATTAGTCCATGGGACTAGTAGTGGACCATGCAAACCTTAGACTGATTTACCCTGGGACCAGAAGAACTGGTGGGGGCCCAGCTACCACAGTCAACCAACTGGAAAGGGATCAGTGTAGGAGATCCTGGATAGAGTGGGAGAAAAGTGTGGAACAAAATGCAGCATCATAAAAAAGACCAGGCTTACTTACTCCTCGGAAGGAAAGTAGGGCAATCTACTTCTATAGTGATACTGCCTCAGAAACCCAAGAAGGGGTTGCTATGAGTAGGATTCAACTGGATGGCAGTGCTTTTGGTTTTTGGTTTTTACTGGTCTGATGGAGACTGGTGAAACTCCAGAAACTATGGCCCCTAGTCACCATTCTGGCCTGGAATCAAACTCACACCTGTGGCTTCCAGCCAAAAAATAGACAAGCCTATGAGTTGAAAAATTATACAGGTATGTACACTCTTCAGAACAATCAACGATGGGCTATGAGAAGGGCAGCATTTGCACAGGGAGATAGCTCAGAGGGCAGGAATGCATAGGAAAGGACACAGGGAAAAATGTAACCACAGGCAGGAAGTGGGAAGAGAGCTGTTACATTATGGGGATTGCAATCAATGTCATAAAACAAAATTTGTATGAACTCTTATGAATTCGCTCTGCAAACTTCCACCCAAATCACAGTTAAAAAACAAAACAAAAACCTAATTGCTATAAGGAGCTCTGGTAGCATAGTGCCTAAGGCACTTGACTGCTAACTAGGAGGCTGGCGGTTCAAGCCCACCAGCCACTCCTTGGAAGGAAGGTTGGGCAATCCTACTTCCATAGTGATAACTGCCTCGGAAACCCAAGGAGGGGTCGCTAGGAGTCGGGGCCGACGCGATGGCAAATAACAACAACAACAATTGCTATAAGGTCGATTCTGACACATAGCAACCCTATCAGAGTAGAACTGTCCCATAGGGTTTTCCCAGCTGTAATCTTTA